AATAAGACAGTTATAAAAAAAAAAAAAAAAGCAAAAAAAACTATTAAAATATAAAAACAAATATGAAATTTAAAATAAAAAAAATAAAAAAAATTTTTTTTTATTATAATTTTTTAAAGATATCGCCATTTTGTTAAAAAAAAACCAATTTTTTCCGATCATTAACCGATATCAACTAACTTATTTTAATATATTTTTTTTATGTTTTCAGATTTTAGCAGAAAAATTTGTCTCACATTTTTCTTGGTATTTCCGAAAGTCCTCTTGGAGATTCACTAGGGGATCCAAGTAATACAAAATATTTCAAAATAAAGCACCGATTGTTAAAACAGAAAAAATTCTATAAATTAATAGTTTTTTAGTTTTATTTATTAATTATGGAATCCCACAACTGCGCAAAATTTTTCTGCTTCAAACCGTGAGGTTGGCGGCCGAAAAAAAGCATTTTTCAAAATTTTTATAAAAAAAAATTAATTTATTTATTACAACTTTTGAGCATGTCAAAGAGAAACATTTGAATATTTTATTTTTTGCATTTTTCATATATTTTTTTTTTGTTTTTAGAAATTTAGCAACTGACAGCTGATTTTCGAAGGCATCGCCAAAATCGTCTCTCGCGGTGGTCCGCATAACAGACAAACGGGTTATCTAAAACAAAAAAATTCAAATTCATCGGTTAGTAGAATAGTTTAGCGAAGCATTTGCAAAAAACAAGTATCTTTCAAAGTCTTTGTTCATAAAACAGTTGGATTATGGATCTACTTTTTCCAAAAATTTGGTTTCGAAAATTATTATATTCATTAAATACGAGTATTATATTAATATTAATTAATCAAAAAACAAAAAAAGCTTCTATTCAACACACTATTTTCCTACTTGGAAGAATGTGTGAATAATTTCAATAAGAACGCTCCACTAGAAGCTGAGAAATCGCAGCTACCTATATATACTAAATATATCAAAGTACTTAAAAAAATATAAAGAAACGATTTGTTGAAATTTCAAATGCCACACCAACAAAAAATTATAAAAAAAAAAACGCGTTTTATTTTGAATACAATTGGTTACAACACCTTAAGGGGTTATAATTAAATTTTCAACATTACTCGAAAACGACTAAACCGATTAGTCTCAAATTTGAACACGAGCTTCTTAAATATGTTTTTTAGTAACTAAACGAAGATTTTTTTCACCGATAAATATATTTTTTTATAAACCATTTTAGGCCGGCCGAATTTAAGGTCTAAAATAATTTGTTTTTTGTTTTAGAATTTGCGATTTTGTCAAAAAAATTATTTTGCTTATTCCTCCAATTAATTACTAGATCTAACATTACTTTAACGAAATCTTTTTATTTTTTTAATTTCAGAGGATCCAGTGCAGTGATATAGTGGTCAACGCAAAGCGTCTTTTTTGCGTCAAGCGGCGGGAGTTGAGCTGCATTTCACTTCCAAATACATGTTTTTACTAAAAATAAGTCTTAATATATACATATAATATATACTATATATATATATATATTTAAAAGATACCATAATATTACAAAGTTTTGAATAAATAAATTATAAGTTTTTTTCAGAAAAATTCTGCATATTTCGCTTTTTTCGATTTTCATACAGCTCGAAGAAACATTTTTGTAGATTTTTTTTCCGAGAAAACTTACAGCTAGAAGGTCGGAAAAAGTGAATTTTCAAGAATTTTTTCTGCGATTTTTTTTTAGTTTATTGATTTAAAACTTTCTGTAAGTCTTAGTAAAAATGATTTTCCAGAGTCCTTAAACAAAGCAAGTATATACCGCAAGTTATATTTAAAAAAAAAAAACATTATAAATTGTTACCGAAATGCATCACTGTTCTAATCGTGTTTCGAAAATATATTATAATATATTTCACTTTCATTATATATTATTATATTATAATATATTCATATTTAAATAAATATATTTTTATTGCGAATTATTCGCTTCATTTACTCAAATCGCACCAAATACTAGCATACCTTTAGGCGTCATTTGGCGTGCATTGTGCGGCATACGCCATGTAGACCCGGAAGACTACAAATAACTGTCATATATGCTCAATGGCACATGCCATTCGAATGCAACACTGCGTAAAAATATCGATTGCTACCGCCGCTGCTTGGCCTAACGGCCTGCTGTACGCTGGCTTGTACGCTTTCTGTATGGCCGCCAGTGTTTTCGTATCCAATCACGTAACGTCCTTGCTGGATGATTTAGCCGTGCTATTGTCATATCGAATAAACGTTTTCACATCGTTGTCCGGGTGCGAGCTAAATAGGAGATTGTCTCTTACGTAAATATCTATAAAATTATTTGAAAAATAAAAAATAATAAGAAATATTCCAAAAAAGCTGTGTGTGTGCTAGCCAAAAAGCAATAATAGTTATAAAGCTTCCATAGCGCTCAAAAGGACTGGTTAAAAGTTGAAAAACCCACAACGAAGCAAAGAAAATCGATTACAAAATTTTGCATAATTTTCAAGACTTTTTCGGCAAATGAAAAGTAGGCAAAGCTTGGTGAAGGCGGTGGTGCGGCAAGCAGCTTACGGTTTTGAAATGCATATAAATATGTATATTGCTTTGTTGCAGACTGTCATAATTGCAATGAGGGCATGGAAAAATTGTGCAATCTGTGTGTAGAAACAAAAATGTATTTGCAAATGCAAAGTTATTTATATGAAAATATATCATATATTTGTATGTATGTATATATAACAGCAGCGCATACGTAATTCGAAAATAGCACGGAAGCATAACGGCAAAACTTTATGTATGGCAAAGGAAAAATCTAGCAAATAGTGTATAAAAGTGCACAGTTTCGCATGATCTGCAGCGTTTCTCTCGTTTCTATAATTTTCTGTGTGTTTTTGGCAGAAATTTCGAAAATCTTGCGCAAATTTGGCTTTACCGTTTGACATTTTCGTTGTCATAAGCCAAAACGATTCAATCGATATCGCTATGGTTGGCGGGCCCCCTTCCCACCCACACATATACACATGCACACGCACACACCTGCTTCGCAGTGCATTAACACACATACGCACAGCCACTGGGCACCATTCCACACTAATTGGACGCAGTTACATAAGCTTCATGCTGTGAATTTGCAAGCGCCGCTGCGGCAAGTAACGGAATTAACGTTAGGCTTGAAAAAGAAATGGTTAAAAATATTTTATGAGGACTTTTTAAAGAATTTCATTTATTTATTTWTTTTTTTTCAAAAAGCAATTTAAAAAAAAAGGTGGGTATTTGCAAGCGTAATATGGGTGACAGTGTTGAAGGGGTTGCGCTTATTCGTCGTTGCCGCTTCGTTTTCGCCAGCTGCATTGTGGTGTGTTAGCTTATGAACGTTCGTGTGCATGCGAAACCGTTTGTCAGCGTCCAGTATGAGAGTCGTTTGTCGGTTTTTCGGTTTTCGGCGCAACACAATCTATGTATTTGAGGCTTAACTAGGTCAGTTATTGAATTTTCAAACGAATTGCAATGCGCAAACAGCAATAACAATAACAACAACAATAAGAACAACAATTACAAGTACTCGCATGACCAACACAGTGCATAACAATAAGACAGTTATAAAAAAAAAAAAAAAAGCAATGCGTTTGAACGACAAAAAGAGACAGTAACGATTGCATGAAGTGCCAGCCGAAGCAAGGCATGGAAAGCGAGCAGCGACGAAAAGCGAAAATGTGCAAATTGTGCGAAATGGCGTTGGTAGCGTGGAAAGCAATGCGGAAGTGACTGCAACTCAGAGGTTTCCATGCAAGAAAATGAGCGCAATCGAAAATAATAAAAAAAAAGTTAATTTTAATATGCATGTGGGTGTGTGGGTGTGTGTGCCTCAACAGCAATATGAAATAGGGCAAATATGTTTTATGAAGCACAGTTATTTGTCACTAGTTAACTGAAATTTGACATGAAAACTGCTTTGCGTGCCAACAACATTATTGTTGTTGTAAATATATTGTTGTATTTGTAACTATTGATCTCGCTGACATTTTCATATTTCTTCTGTAATTTTTTTTGTGGCTCTCATTTTCATTTTTTGCTCTCATTATCCTACATTTTCATTTTTAGTCTTTCATTCACTTCGCGGTGTCTTCTTTTGTTGCTGTAGCCACTTCGAGTTTGACTTGATTTATTGTTGTATTATTATATTCGTTATGTGTGTATGTGTGTGCATATTAAGGTTAGCTTTCTTGTTATATTATTTTCGTTTTTGTGTATGTATGTGTGTATATTAAGGTGTGTGCACTGATATACTCGCTAGGCAACCCACTAATAACAGTTAATAAAATCAATTCTCCATCCATAAAGAATGCCAGCAGAACAATCACGGACATGTCAAATCTACCTCAAAATGGCTTAGCACGGCCCAACTCAACTCAACAGTTTGGTTGCATGTGCTGCTTTGTATGCACATACACATGTAAATTTATATGTATATATGCTGTTAATTGAATGATTCACAAATCAAAAGCCATAACATTTGTTAGAGCGAGCTCGTGTTACATATCAGCGCTTGTAACGGTAAATTCTATATTTTTGTGAGTAATTGAGGTTATTTTCATATACATATATACATATATGTATGTATGTGGTTTTTCAAATATGGTACACATTTCAAATATATGTACATAAAGATGCATAATATATGTATGTATGTAAGTACTTGCAGCACCTGCTTAAGTAGCTTTTGATATTTGATTTCACTACTTGATTCATATTTATAAATAGACATATTTTCGTTGTGTGTAATTAACTACCGCTGAAGCCGCTTTTTCTTTGCTTTTTCTATCTTACATAATAGCCGCTAGCTGTCGTACATTTTTTTCTTCAACATATTATTTTCTTTCAACATATTAAACTTACAAGCGATATGCCTGTTTTATATGTTTTCATGATTCATGGAAAATATTGATAGAAATATACTAATGAAAATTTGTAACAAAATATGTTTGAGTGTACCCTTATTAAATTGTTTGCAAGGTGCTTGTATTCGCTTACATAACCACTTCAAGCTTAACAACTCTCTGCTTATGAACAATTTATGGACAATTTGCCTTTAACTGAAGAGTCAGAATAACGTTCTTCGAGTACGCGCACATTTTCATTACTTCTATTATTTTCATTTTACGAGCATTAAGTAATTGAGAAATTTATATATGTACATATATTCACATTTTACTATACTAACTTCACCTAAAAGCCAAAAGAACGTATCATTAAAAAATTCCAAAATTGAGTTTTTTATTGTTTACAATTACTGGCATCGTGTTAGAAATTTTTAGCATAAAATTTTCAGCTTCCGCTGTCAGATATAAACAACATATAACATTTTATAACCAATATATAACCATTTTATAACCAAAACTCAAATTTTGTTTCAATATTAGTAGTTTCTATTAAATCGTTTTCCTTCGACTGTAAAAATATGAAAACATACAACCGATATGTAACCATTTTATAACCAAAACTCAAATTTTGTTTCAATATTAGTAGTTTCTATTATCTCGTTTTTCTTTGATTGTAAACTTATGCGAAGTGATGTTACGTTATTTTGGAATCTAGCTGACGATATACTAAACACTTATACTGTTTTATTACGTGGACTCTAAAATTTCGTGCAATAAAAATTGGTTTCTATTAAAATGAAGAAACAGCATGGCATTTCATTAACATTTGCTTTGTTATCCGATATAATATATGTATAAATATACATATATTTTTGAAATAAATAAGTCAAATAGTCCTGCCAAACCCAACTGACCAACAAACCAATGAGTTAGTACTTTTTGCCCACTGTACCATTAGAAGAACAAGTTTTAATTGCTCGAGGTTTACCATATAAATCTAGTAATTGTCTCCTCTCAATGGTACTATAGTGGCACAATTTAATTTTTCTATTTTTATAATATGCAAAGCGGTGCTATCCTAATCTTTTTATCTTTTCATGCTATAAATTGAAGACTTAAGCCTCTGTCGCCTTTCTCTGGGAGAAAAAGTTCAAATAATCCATACATACATGGGAAAATGGTCCACGTGCATGATAGCTTAGCAAAAAATTTATAAAATTTCATTAAAAAAAATATATAAATATGTTACCTACAGCTATTTTGAAGCCATAATACGCCTCACAAATGCAAAAGATCTATTAAAAATTTTAATTTAATAGGTCAGTTTGTATTGAAACTATACGCTATAGTGGTTCGATAATAATAATTTCTTCAGAGATTAAACCGTTGATTTGGGCAATTATTCATGCCAAAATTCATTAAGATATCTGTAAAACTTTTCCATACAAGCACTTGATTTCTATCATTCAGTTTGTATGGCAATTATATGCTATTGTGGTCGAATATCGGCAATTTCGACAATGAAGCAACTTCTTTAACAGAAAAGAACATATGCAAAAGTTCAGGTCAATATCACAAGAACTGAGTGACTAATTCGGGTACATATCGACAGACAGACATCCGGACATCGACTCAGCTTATCATATTGATAAGTTAATATGTACGACATAGACGTACATCATGATATACTCAAATAAAATACTGCGTCACGACTCTACAATCCTTAACCACAAATACATTCATGTTGATATTCGTAATTAAAATTACATTAACAGTTGTTTAACCGAAAATCGGCATCGCGTAGTGATGACTATTGTTAAAATACTAGCTGAGTAATTGACGAAATTGTCTAAAGAATAAGTGCAATAAATAAGTGATTCGTTGTTTAGAACATCTATTCTATAAGATTAATATATTACAAAGAAATTCGAAGAATAATCACAGACAATGCATTGGTATATGAGCAGACCTTTGTTTATGGTCGAATTGTACTCATTGTATGATTTTGAAAGATCAAAACATCGGATTTTGAGAGTGCAGAAATCATACTTGGGAGGAATAAATATCTAGTGTTTCTGCCAGCTATATCATGACATCTTTTGAGTTGTTGAGATGGGGAGTGTTCCTTAAGAGAAAGAATGGAGAGTTATGAATCGATCACATTGTAATTGTTTACTAAGATTCATCAGTATTTGAAAAGAACCCCTCTAGTATTGATAGATGTATAGAGGTACTGTCTTTGATGCAGTGATTAGATAACTTTTTATTCCCAAGATTTTTWTTACTAAGATTCATCAGTATTTGAAAAGAACCCCTCTAGTATTGATAGATGTATAGAGGTACTCTCTTTGATGCAGTGATTAGATAACTTTTTATTCCCATTTTTCGCAAAGTGAGCATAACTCGCGCCAAGCCCGCAGATTAATAAAGTAATGTACGTTTTCTCTTCAAGTTATATTATTTAACAAAAGTAATAGGTATATTACTTTCAAGTTCTGAGAGAGGTTCGAACACACTGAGAGTTTTTCATGAAAACCTTCATAACACTTTTTTTTAGTAGAAGGAAGCATCGAAAATCGATGTACCGGACTTTAATTCGCTAAACCTAAGCTAATCCAAAAAATATGTCTCCCTCACGGGACCACTTTTTAGTGTTAGAAATAGAACTATTTATGTGCGAGAGAAAGACAAATATTCATTAAAATCGTTAAAAACTGCTGTCTTTCCACAGGATTAGCAATGCAATCAATATAAAGCTAATACAAGTTATCATTTCTTCAATTAATTTTTTTGTTGCCTTCTCTCTCATCAGTCACATACTTAAATTGGCTCGTTCTTACCAACATTGCTTGTTGTATAACATTAATCTTCCATTAAATGTGGTGTAAGCGAATAAAATGTTACATGTATACATATACTCGTATACAGTGAAGCTTCGCTATAATGAAGCTTGAGAGAATACAAACTTTATATAACGAACTGCTACCTGAATCTTTGACAAATCGTTGGAATGAATAATGAAAAAGAAGATTTTTGGGTTTTAATTTGATGAAATTGCAACTTAAACAACAGTATACAGCGTATTAAAAAATAAAGTGAAGTACCGTTAGTGTTAACACATGATTTTGTTGAACATGAATTTTTTTCTTTTAGTTTTTATTAAAAAATAGTGATTTATGAATCCTAGGGAGTGGTGAATCGAACACAAAACTACTAAATTAAGGATAGACCCCTGCAGTAAATTAAAATTAAAATTTAAATTTATCTGCCTTGCGAACTGACTGACTGTTCAAAATAAAGTTTATGTATGGAAAACTTTTTCATTGGACGAAATGAATTTAGCAAACTTTACCTCTTGCATTTGAGCATCATGAAATTGTATTTGCTATTCAACTGCTGGACAATAGTTTTTAGAAGACTGGAAAGATATGACTTGCTGTACCTCTCCTTTCGATTAAATTAATATAAAAAATTTTATTGTATTTTATTTAATTTAATTAATTTTTTTTTATTTCTTTAATGTCATACTATTATAATTCATCAACAATGTGTTTTCATGAAATTTCATTCATGTTTTTTATAATTAAACAGCTTCCAAAAATATTGAAATTTACAAAAAGAAAATTACCAGATTAACTTCGAAGAATTTATTTAGATCGAACAACTAACGCATATAGCTGCCTTGCAAGCTGATTTTTCAAATCAAGATAAAGATATTTTATGCCTTTCCTGCTTAATAAAATATAGCTGTGTAGGGTATAATAGAAACGCTGCAATAGAAGTTAACATTTTTTCTTATTTTGTAATGAATTCAACTGTATATGTAATTGTCGTATTGTCTCCACATATAAAGTTTTTGGCAAAAGCTCAGAGCAGATAATGGAAAAAATCCATTTTTTCTTGCCTTCAATCATTTTATAAATCTAAATTTCTATACAAGGCTTTACCGTATATACACGCTGCAACGTGACCACATGCAACGCCCACTAAGTCATCAAATAGTGCCAAATCCATTTCCTATACGACAGCCCTTACCGCTGAACATGCGACCACACGCCACCACTTACATGAACTTATTTATACTTACATATGTAGTGCATGCGTTGGTGCACGGGTGTGTGTGTGTATGTACATTGTCTTTTCTTTGCCGCTATGACAGCCGACGATTATGTAAAATGCCAGCGCAGCATTTGCAGGAAAATCTTCCTGCTCAACGTGAGCGCTATCAACAGTACAACAGAACATCAGCAACGTCATTATTGTCATTCGTTTGCGTTCATTCTTGCATGCTGCCTCGGCAAACAGTACACGAGAAGTCGTGTGCAAGTGCTGACAGTGTATGGGAGAAGAGAGCATAAGAGAATGCATATTTGAGTATGAGTAATGTGTCAAAAATTGATTGCATGTATACATACTTATGTAAATATATATTTATTTATATGCATGTGTAAATTTGTATATATGTATGATGTGTGTATGTGTATATGTATGTATTGTGTGTACATACATATGTGTGTCAGTCTAAAATTTGCGAAAAACATAATGAAAAGAAAATTGCAATGTGTCCCATATCTGAAAAGTGCGAACAACGGTGCATACATCCATGCATGTACATGATTAAGCATGTGCTCAAACTTTTTGTCGGCGGAAAGTGCAATCAACTAAAAATAACAACAGCACCACTCGTTCAATATAAATCATGTACAAATTAAAAGCAAAAAAAAAAAAAAAAAAAAAAAAAAAAAAAAAAAAAAAATAAAAAAAAAAATCAAAAAGCGTTTCCTTGCATTTGAAAAAGAAAATAAATTGTGAACAAGGGAAAATGCCAGCGCTGAACATGTGCAAGCGTGTAAATCTTGGCAGTTGGATGCGATCACAACCGCAGCACCCAATAAAGTGGATTAGGCCAATTACTTTGTGCCACAAACTTTTGGTCGGACGCAAGCAGGCAGTCGTTAAGCTAAGTGTGTTGTCACAACAACAATAAGGCTGAAAAAACTAACAACTACAAAGCGGAAAACTACCGAACTATGGATATCATAATGTGTACACACTTTTACGTTATATACAACTGCTGTATGTACATACATATGTATATCTACACGAATATATACATAAGTACATATATACATAGATATACTACGCTTCGCCGCTGCCCCCATCACTCGCGTACTTCAGCGTTTTCGCCTACGCAAATGCGCCTCAAAAGTCATTGTCTGCCGCTGGCGTTTGAATTCTTGCCATTTGCCAATGTTTCTTTGAAATACACATTTTCTTTCGTTTTTTATGCATTTTGTGTTTCTTGCATTTCATCCAATGATTTAACCGACTATTTTGTTGCATTTCTTCCGAATCATTGCAGTTCAGTGCGAGATGTCGGCATAACAGAACGTCAAATAATCAATCAGCCAGTCAGCTAGTCAGTGAGTCAGTCAGTCAGTAAGCCAGCAAGACCGCGTTGATAAGTTCGTGTGTTGCCGCCGAAAAGCCAAGCCAGTTAAGCAGCAGAGTAGCCTGCGTGGCCGTGTCCAATTATTGTACCTGTGTTTGAGACGTGCCCCGATTTGTGATTTTATTCGAAGTGACAAAATTTTACTTCACATCCGTTGACTGCGTGTTTTAAGTGAACAGTATAAGAAACAAAAACAAAAACAAATAAAAGTAATCAGCAAACAAAATAACATAGCAAGAAGCAATACGGTAATAATTAAAATAATACAAATAATTAAAATTAAGCGAAAGTATCAAATATTAACCAAAACAATTTAACAAAAAGTTCTTTTAGCGAACTACATTCGAAACTAAAATCGTAACGTACAACAACAATAGTTTTGTTTTTAATCCTCATCAACAGTTTTTCGTTAATCTCGTTGTTGTTGTGAATAAATCGATAATTGTATAATATCAAGAACACAAAACAAAAAGCAAAAAAAAAAAAAACAAAAAGAAAAATGCCACCACTAATGGAACGAACACTGCTGCTCTTGGGCATCCTTTGCTGTTTACAAGGTGGGTTTGTTATACAAATGACAATTTTTCTTAATTTTATAGTTTAAAAATATTTTAAAAATAACATTTTTTTATTTTTCTTGGATATTTGATGGTGCCAATTTCACAGCTAAAAGTCAAATTTGGGGATATCTAAGCTCAGAGTATACAAAATGTTCAGTTTTATTCAATGAAAATCTCCATTGCATTTCAAAAGTAAATCGAATGAGTTCAGGAGCAATGATGTCATAAAATTTTCAGAAAATCTACCGGAAGGTTGGCGTTGTTTGACGCGAATTGGATCCAAGTGTAGCCAAGTTCTTCTAAATTATTTCACAAAGTTTGATGAAAACTTGACTTCTTATGTCCCGAGCACAATATATTCTTTTATTTTGACTTGACTTACAATGGAAAAAAAACCTTAACCTGATCCGCACCAGATGTAATATTTTTATGCCAACGATTTTTCCAGTTCTCGAAACACTTTGCATAAACACGATTTGCGATGACCTTCTACTCCTCCAGTGAGTTTTGTTTTATATCTTCGATCGACCGAAAATGGGCTACACGGACCGGCAATTTCAGTTTCAGAGGATCACACGGAGCCAAATCTGGTGAACACAACGGTTGATCGACGGTATTGCTGTATTTTGATTTGAAATTTGGTCACATTCGTGTCCCGATGCCATAGTGCATTGTCATCGAGTAAAATCCATGGATTGTTCCTCTAGAATTCCGCCCGTTTTCGACGGATGTTCTCACGCAAACGCCTCAATACGGCCAAATTGCATTCCTTATTGACCGTCTGTCCTTCCGGAACAAATGCATGATGCACCAAAGTATGAATACAGAAAAAAGAGAGCATCACCTTGATTTTGAGGGGCTTTCGCCGTGTTTTTTTTGTTTTGGTTTCGGCTAATTTTTCTTAATTCCGTTGATTGTTGACTTGTTTGCATGYCAAACTCAAAGGCCCATGTCTCATTGGCAGTTATAATGGGTTCGGAATTCGCACGATCAAGCATGACCAAAGAGACCTGCTAACGTTACCAGGAGAATTTTAATAACAATTTCCGTGTACTTTGCAATTTACACTAAGTTTGGTTTGCTATTCCATAAAGAACTCSGGAACAACGTTTGCAAATGGTGCCAGTTTATTACCAAAACAATGGTTCGGTTCGATCGGTTTCGCACACCGTTTACTTTAGTAGATAATGCACATCACCACAGATACCTACCGAAGAGTGATAGGGTATCGAAGCAAGCCAGAATGAGTCTTTAGTCTTGAGACTTTAGGGAGGATTTTGCAGAGTGATCTTAATTTGCGCGTTTTCACAATTCAATTCRTGAAAGAGTTGAAGTCGAACTACCAACAGCGGATAGCACGCCCGTGAATGGACTTTCAACGACCATGGCCATCGATCCCGATTTTTACAAGAAAGATTTCTTCGATGATGTAGCCCACTTTTGATTGAAGGAATACGTTAATGAACTCTATTGTCATGTTTGAAGTGATACTAACACAAAGAAACACTCAATTTATTGCAAAAAAAAAAAAAAAAAAAAAAAAAAAAAAAAAAAAAAAAAAAAAAAAAAAAAAAAAAAAAAAAAAAAAAAAAAAAAAAAAAAAAAAAAAATGGTTGAGAATACCTAGCGAGGCCACGGATTTAACACTACTGAACTATTTGACTTGAACTACTTGATGGAAATCATTTATAAAACATAATGACAAACTCTTATGTTTAACTCTTATGTTTATCGCATCATTTCTTCTTAAAAGTCACACGTCTAAAAAAATACTCTTTACATACCTTTATCAACATATTTTCCAAGAACCTACATTACAAATTTTATTTTCACAGCAACCACTGCGCTGATGTGTTACGATTGCAATAGCGCCTACGATCCCAATTGCGGTGATCCATTCGAACCATATACCTTGGGTAAGGTTAACTGCACCCAACAGGAGGTTAAGGAACATCTTAAAGACAAATACACCAAACCTTTGCTCTGCCGTAAGACAACACAAAAGGGTGAGTGAAAGATGTTAAGTAGGTTAATTTCGATAACTTGCCAACTTACTCACCTATATATATATATATCATTTTAGTTTATGGCAAGGTGCGCGTGGTGCGCGGTTGCGGCTACATACCCGATAAGAGCGATGATGGCCTATGCATGAAACGCTCCGGCACACATGACGTGCAGGCAATCTATTGTGCGTGCACATCTGAGCTGTGCAATCATGCCGCCTCCACATTGTATCAGAACAACAATCATCCCATACTATCGGCATTACCCTATACATTAGCAGCGTTCTTTGTTTGGTTTGCCACATTTTCGAGTCATTTCAATATCAATGCTTTTGGTGCTGTGCAAAATTCATAAATAGTACGATATATACAGAAGCCTACACGCATATATAGTAGAAATAAATAAGCATACATACATACAAGCATACATACATACATATGATAGATGTGTATATGTGTATTAAGGAAATGAAGTCGCGAAGTTTTCATTTAACCACTTTAAGTTTGGGAAGTCACAACACAGTCATATACACCAGAACACACACACACCCATACATACACATGCATTGCATAATTCAAGCGAAATAGAGCAAACAAAGCGCAAGTAAAAGCAGAAGTTGATTAGACATAAAGAAAGAAAAGGAAAGCGCAACCAACACTTAACGGTTAAAAATAGCATGGAACAAAAGCTGACGGTTGTTAACCAAGTTTAAAGGAGAGCGACGCTGGAGAAGCATGTGTTGCATAAGCAGGCAAATGAAATCAGCACACTTGAGATTGCATAACCCCATTCAAGCTTAAATACAGAAATAAAGTAAATTAATAGAAATTAATACGAAAAACAGCGATTTGTTCAACTAAAACCGAAAGCAAGCATCTTTACTGTATATGTTGGCCCTAAAAGTATGCTAATAAATATATCTTTTTCGTTCGACGACAATGCAATTGACAAAGCCGGAAAATATTGCTGTTGAAAGCAGGTATGTGAGCAAAAAGACGAACGTTAGTTAAGTACTGTTGAACTTCCCAAACTCGAAGCAGCATAATTTATAAAACCACTGTGAGTTTGAGAGATTACGAGCTGTGGAAGAAAATTTGTATGGAATTTTTCTGCTATTGCCAATTCAAGAGTTCGGGTTTTGAAGAACTTTGCGTTATGGAAGCTCAACTGTATTTACAACAAAAACTCATGGGTTATATCCACTTGCAAGTCACAAAAAATGCTTTTTTCCTTCAGTTTTGTTGAGTAGTGCAATATTAAGG